ACCTAACAAACATTCCAAATTCAAACCAAGCAGTATTCTTCAGTTGTTCTGTCTCCTTTTCTTCCAACTGTCAAGTCAGAGAAGTGGAAGCTCTGTGATGTCACAGACTACCACCAGGATAGGGTTACCAGTCAGTGGGTTGTGTTCACATTCCTGGCTCTGTTCTTGGTTGGCTTTGACAGATGGACCAGGATGGAAAATAGCAGGGTACGATGGAAATCTGAGCCTCTTTATTGCCAAGTCTGAAAAACAGGTTGTTTATTAAACGACTTCTTTTTCTTTATTTTTATGAACTCTTCTTAATAGGGGGTTGTTGGTCAGGTGGTAATGGAGGGGGGGGTTGGCCAGTCACAGATACTCAAACTCATATTAGATTGGCCCTGAACTTGGCCATGATCTTTTAGAACATAAAGAGGTAAAGTTACATAGGCCGTGAAACCAAGATAAGTTTTAGCACGCTTTCTACCATGCCAAGACTCACTGTTGCATAAATTGGCTATTACTTATGGAGGTCATAATGGAAGAAAATGTATAGCATGTCTATCAAACTTAAGTAGACCACACTCCTCGCTTCATTACCCTCAATACAGACAGTGGTAAATTTGTCAGCCATAATGATATCATGAAAGCTTGCCAGAAATAAGTGGAAAATTTTTTCCATTTCATTAACTTGGTGTGCAAGCTGCTGTAAAGTCGTCAGCCATTGTGATGTGGAGAAAACACTGCAGGATGTAGTTAACACTGCGCAGTAGTTAAAGTTTATTCATATGCCAACTTTAACACTAGTGAGTGATTAGTTAATACTATTAATTTATTATTATTTCCTTATTGATACTACCACATTTACTTACAATGGCTAGGATCTATCAAAAGAATACAAAGAGATTATATATTAATTAACAGAAAAAGAAGTGTTTATAGTTACAGGATAAAAAACATCTTGCTTATGATTTGTTGTATTAGATTTTCATGTCAGCAAGTTGAATATGTGGCTTCCCTTTTCTGTAATTCTGATCTTTCTTACCACATATTAGGTAAGTATACAAGTTAGTTGCTATGGCAACTTACTGAGGGACACACCAAGATAATGTTAACTTTAACAACCATATTAACCTTCTGCTTAATTTGCTATAACAAATAGGAAAAATACAATTACTCTGATCATGCAAGCTATAAAACTCCTCATCCATTAAGACGTTGCTGAAAAATCACTAACAACTTCTGGGAAATAATCTGCTACATTTTTTTTCTTTTATTTCCCATTTCTGAGCCTCAATGAGTCTGTCAGCCATTGTCGAAGCTCTGAAGACTGGCGAGACAGTGTGTTTTTCCTGGTAGTACATTAGTTGTCAGCGCAGGATGATTCCCGGAGCTCCATAGAGGAAATGGCGGCCATTTTATGCTTGGGTGGAGATTAGTGAGAGAGCCTTTTATGAATGTGTAATTTGAAGCTGCTAATCCAACTTCTGGGATTTATGCATTTTACAGCTTTTATGATACTTTATGTCAAGTACATATTGGCAATAACAGGAGCGCAATTAGGATAAAAATCAATTTGTAGGAGAATTTATATATGAGGGACACCTAGGCTATGATTTAGCTCAGACCATCCATTGACATAGCAATATCTAGAAATTGAACTATTTGTGTTGATCATTTATCAGGGATAGACTTGTTACCTTAACCAAGAAAGCCACATTTTTGCATTTGTTGGTTTGTTAGTTCAGAGTCTAGCTTATAAAGTTATGGGAGATTTTGATCAATTTTCCAGGCACATTTGAAATCTGTTAGATTTTGATGGTGATCCATTACTCATTTAACTCATTGACGCTAAAAATTGAGCTTCCTCGGCGGAGGTCTGTGCCCTGTAAGTGCTGTTTTAGTCTTATATATATCACTCTGTCAGTCTGGGTACATTTGGGATGAATATTACAACAGAAATAGACATTAATTAAATCAGGTTAGTATGAAAACAATCTGCAATGCTGAGTGTTCCTTACTGTAAAATGTGTGTATGGCCCCAAGTGAAAAAATGATGTGAAATTTTTCAAACAATAAAAGCAACCTTCAGAAACAGAAGAGGGAATAAGAAAGCACTTACTTCTCAGAAATGGTGTTTGATTTCTCCTTGGGATTTCTCCTAGGGGTGAGCTACTGACCACAGAGGATTGTAAATTAGCAGTTTTTCCATCATGCTTCCACAATGTAAAAAGTATGACCAACATAGAACTTTAGAGCAGAAGATACATATGATAGAAGGGATTTAGGGATTTTTTTCTAGAAAAAAGCAGCATTTTTATAATGTAGAACTATTTATTTTCAATAATTTCCTTTTATATTTTCTGTATGAATTTGAAAATTTTGTTTTATTGTCAGATAATTTAAGACCAATGAACTGAAGGTTTATGTCAATCTATAATGCATTAGCAACAGATATTTCTCATAATCTTCAAAGTAAGCTTCTTTTATTCACTGATTATTATTCCAAAACACAGAATAAAAAAGATGTAAGAAATTAAAGGATATTTTAATTGAACAAGGAAAGTATTATGCAAATAAAAATAGAAGATATAGCCTCAGCAGGGCATGATGTGGTATGGTGACAGTTCTCTGGCTTGTCTTGGCTCCTTTATCAGGAACTTTTCTCGATGCCAAACTACTGTCAACTTGAACCTAGCGTAGGCTATACTTTGACGAAATACTGTTCCCAAGGGAAAATTTAATTGCCAACAATTTGTTTATTTTTGAACCAACATCACAGTGACCAGTGCTGTGGGAGGGAAGATCTGAATTGAAATAGATTTGGCCAAATGGTGACAATATTTGTAGTGGAATAAAGAGATGGTTGATGATAAATCCAGAATCAGGATAGTGACTGTAAATTTTCCTTAAAATGGACACGAAACTGTAGTTGAAAAAGGTTCAAATGGGTAAATCATGATGGTCTCTAGAATAAAATAGCCTGGAATTGAGGCTAGAGACAATGTTATACCACTGTCACCTGTGTTATATTGACAAACTGAACTGTTGGGTTGTGTTGGAGAAGTCTGTGGTCATGTTTGTGTCTCTAAAATATACATACATCGCATGAATAAAGAAACGTGGGGTGTTTCTGGGGACTACTTGTTGCCTAGCAACCCAAAAATATTACTGATTTATGATCAACTTGGACGCTGCGATAAGTGCCTTCCCCACCCCCATTTAAAAAATTGAAAAGCCAGAGTGTTGTTAGCAGTAGAATAAGAGAAAAGTTTGAAGTCATATTAAATGTAAAATATACCATTATATCAATAGAAATAGAGGGCGCCAGTTTTGTGCAGCCTACAGCTTGTTTGAAGCTCTCAATTTTAGTCGTTTTTTTACTTGGTTCTGGTATTTTAGATGCATAATTCATAGACTGTGATTTTAGTGATTGATTAGTTTTAATTACTGTTTATTACAATTAAGTTAGTTTAGCTCTTATTTATATAAAATATATCTTAACCGTTTTTTTCTATAAACCTCTTTGTATTTTATGTTGTACAGTCTATTGAACATTTTATGGATTTTAGACTTGAAATAAATATATTATTATTAAATATATTATAATACAATATATGCACAGTAAAGTAACAGCAGAAAAGTATAGTGATGTTAAGTCTGTTGACATATATAATAACTGAAGTAGACACCTGTACCCAGTAGAGGCTCACACTCAGAGCTCATTCCGAACAGCAGACTAACAGATCCGAGGAACAAATATGGCGACCCGCTTAAAAGCTTGGCGCTTAATTCCCTGTTAGACATGAAAAGATCTACTGTGAGGATAAGGCAACAAGCATTCAAGTGGGCCAGCTATGTTTGATCTGGGGATCTGTTAGTCTGCTGTTCTAAATGCATTCTCAGGCTGCATCCAAGCTCCCAGGCAGTACTCACATCAGTGTAATGGCACCTAATAATTTACAGTACCAGGCTGGGATAATTGAATTACTTTCCACTAACTGTTGTTGCTCTATTCCCACTCTGAAGTGGGGAACAATGACGAGGGCCCTGGTACCTTGAAGGAAATAAATATCAAAGTGTCACGGTATTGGCATTCTAGGTGCTTCTTTATTTGTCCGCGTTTGTCAGCGTGCGTGCATATTTCTGTGTCTAAGAGTGTGAGATTTTTTGTTTGTGAGAATGCTTGTATTTGTATTTTTTGCATATGTGTGTGCATGCGTGTGTGCATTTGCTCTTCTGTGTGTGTCTTTGCATGTTTGTGTGTGTCAGGATATCTGCGTACATTTCTCCATTGAATGAGACATGTTGAAGAACTGTTTCCATGACTAATTGATAAATTTATGAGTGTAATATTAAAGTTAATTGCCAGTGGGTATTGTCTACCAGACAGAATGAACTGTGTCACTTCTGTAGAAGCTCCAGGGTTAACTTGGTATGGTTAAGTCCAGGGTTAACTCAAGGAAAAGGTCAGGGTCAACACATTATATTGTTAATGATACAATTAACTAGAGAAGCAAATCTGTACAGAATCCGTTAGCTTCACAGTGTTGCTGGTAACTCTTCTGTCACTATATCTGATGCCATGGTTGAAAATTTGTGTTGGATACAGGAAAATCATTCACAGTATTCTGGATCTCGGGGTGTTCGTAGAGCTCACACAGTCAGAACCTGTACCTAAATTTGTAAATAATTGTATCAAGTAATATCCTGTATACTTTTAACCTTTGCCAAGATTGATGTTTGCTTCCCTGCAAGTAAACCCACTGACTGGGAACGTCTAGTAATTTATGGTTTGGTTCAATTTGAAGCATTGCTGTCCACTAGTATTCAGAACCAAAGTAGGCTAGTTTCTTGAGTTTAAAAATTGTCAACAAGCAAAAAGTTCTTTAACTTAAGTTATTCTTTCATGCAATGGTAATTCATTACAAGTGGTTATATTTGTACATTTTCTTCTAGATTTATTTCTAGTTATTTTCTACAAATATTAACAGAAATATTTGTATATTGTCTCCTTCCAGATCTATTTCTCAGCATGATTGAGAGGGCAGAAAACAGCACAGACCTGCTCTTCAGTAACATCTACAAACTCCCCCAACAAGAAAGACAACAACCAATCAGAACTTTCTTTACAGACTTGAAGAACTTCATCAGGCGAAAACAAATAAATATCCACACTAGCGTGGAGCAGTTCTTCATAGATTTGTTCCCATTGGTATTTCATAACAATCTTAATGACCCCAACAAGATGGCATATACAGAGGAGTATAAACGCTGCTTAGTGAGTGCAAAACCACATGTACACCCGCCATTTGGGGAATGGCCGCGCAGGATAGCGCTTCAGCTAGCACAAGTTTTTGGCTCTACCCGCACATTCCTAGAAGCTGTGAATCTTGCAGTTGAGACCGTCAACACGACGGAACATCTTGTGATGGAAAACCACTGTCACAAAGCTGTAACAAAACTACGCTATTGCTCTCAGTGTCGCGGCCACACCGAGGCCAAGCCGTGTTATAATTACTGCCTTAACGTTATGCGGGGCTGTCTTGCAGAAGTCCAAGAACTTAGCACCCCCTGGAATTCATTTGTGGATTCGGTGGAGAAGTATTCTCAAACCCTGACTGGTTCATATTCCATAGAGACAGTGATGCAGGGACTGGACAACAAGATTTCAGATGCACTCATGTATTCCATGACCAATGGACTGAAGTTTTATTCACAGGTAGGTTGGCATACCATCAGGTAATGTTATTCACAGGTAGGTTGGCATACCATCAGGTAATGTTATTCACAGGTAGGTTGGCATACCATCAGGTAATGTTATTCACAGGTAGGTTGGCATACCATCAGGTAATGTTATTCACAGGTAGGTTGGCATACCATCAGGTAATGTTATTCACAGGTAGGTTGGCATACCATCAGGTAATGTTATTCACAGGTAGGTTGGCATACCATCAGGTAATGTTATTCACAGGTAGGTTGGCATACCATCAGGTAATGTTATTCACAGGTAGGTTGGCATACCATCAGGTAATGTTATTCACAGGTAGGTTGGCATACCATCAGGTAATGTTATTCACAGGTAGGTTGGCATACCATCAGGTAATGTTATTCACAGGTAGGTTGGCATACCATCAGGTAATGTTATTCACAGGTAGGTTGGCATACCATCAGGTAATGTTATTCACAGGTAGGTTGGCATACCATCAGGTAATGTTATTCACAGGTAGGTTGGCATACCATCAGGTAATGTTATTCACAGGTAGGTTGGCATACCATCAGGTAATGTTATTCACAGGTAGGTTGGCATACCATCAGGTAATGTTATTCACAGGTAGGTTGGCATACCATCAGGTAATGTTATTCACAGGTAGGTTGGCATACCATCAGGTAATGTTATTCACAGGTAGGTTGGCATACCATCAGGTAATGTTATTCACAGGTAGGTTGGCATACCATCAGGTAATGTTATTCACAGGTAGGTTGGCATACCATCAGATAATCATGTTATGTTAAATGACAAACAACGTACATGTGTCCTATAGCCTTCAGGTAAAGGAGAAAGGAAAAGGCAGAGATTAGGTCTTTGGATGTGTTCACAATAAAACTATTGTATTACTGGTAGGTAGTTCAAACTAACTCCTGGGGACTCATGCTGAATGCAGTCAGATTAACAGGTACGCATGTTTCCCCCTGGTGTTGAGTAGTATACAGAAAAGCTGGTGATTATATGAGTATGTGGTAAACAAGAGGTGTCTAGTTGCATTCAGTGAGAGTCCCTGCATAGTGACTTTGAGCTGCCTAGTATGACAGTATGACCTAGTATGCCTAGTGAACATGGCCTTAAAGGGAACATCACTTTTTGGAGCGTAAGATGCAAGGTCTGGCCAGTTCTCTGAGGCTGGAAACACTTGAAATAAGCTCAATGCCCTGGTGTTTCCTATCAACATTCAGTTAAGACAATTTTGCATAAAAACAAACTTAAAATCTTACTATACTAACATGGTAAGTGCATTAGTTTTGCCACAAGGGATGTTAGTCCAAATGTCACTACCGTGAACAGGAGGGAAATGTGATTTTGTTGTGCGGAACGCGGTGTTATTGATGCTTAACCTGGTTTTATCATTCAAAAACATAATTGAAACATTGTAAACAGCGTTTACACGACACGAAATGGTTTTCAGTCCTCAAGTTAACACAGTGTTGTTGAGTATGTCATGGGAATTTGACTGAAAACAAAAGGCAAGCTACCAGTGTCTCTTAACTACACAGCCAATGGTCATGCAGTTTAACAATGTCATTTTCTTAGTACTTTGATACATTTGTTAGTTTACGAGACTTTGGTAATTGCTACATATTCTAAAAAACAATTACAAATTGATTTCTCTGACATAAAAAAAATCTCTTGGGAAACCAGACACTTATGATACTGAAGCCCTTTAAGGCTAGGTTCGAGATGGATGGCAATTTTGTCATGATTATGGTGCAGTTTTATTGGAAGAGGCAGACATGGTTGGCCAGCCAGTGGTGTACCATGACGCATGCAATAAAACTGTCAATCTCGTTGGTAAAAGTCAATAAGAATGGTGGTCCAACAATTTGATCAAGTAAATGCTATTGCTGTTTGATTTGATACAATATATCAAAATCATTTGTATTTATATCATTACCAAACATATGTCAGATTGATGATTTCATTTTATTTGCCTGTAAAATTCCCAACTTCCAGGGTTTCTGTTTCATGGTACCTGTTCTGTACATTATTGATTAACCAATTAAAACCAATCCAGTTACTCTGCTGATCCACCCACGGCCGTATCAACTGATTTCTATCGTGTGCCGTGGCTACAGATTAGATTCCCATGGTTAGGGAGGGCAGCCAAACTGTGGGAAGCCAGAATTTCTGCCCAGAACATCTAAACCGAGTTCACCCCTTTCCTGGGCACTGACCAGCAGACCTCTGAGAATTCTTATAGCAGGGGTTTTAATTACTTATTGATTTATTCATCATTTTCTTAATCTGACCTTAAAATAACTGGCATTTAGATAAACAGGGACAGGGCTTAAATGGATTCATCAATAGTTATTCGAGTGAAAAGTACAGACTCGCAATTGACATGAAATTCATTTGTGGGTTTTAAAGTATCTTCTGTAAAAATACTATTCAAATGGTCTACCTGTGTGTAACTGCCTCTTTTCCCAGTCTCTCCTAAAATATCCAATCAACATGGCAGTCAAAACAAATATGGCCACCTGTAACAGATTTCTTAAATGCTTTGAAGAATAAAAGCAGAATTGGTCACCCAATTATTTCTACCTGAACAAAACTTTTCAGTCAGCTCAGATCTTTAGAATCTGCTATATGGTTGATAATATTTTTCTGTTTCAGGTGATTGCCAAATGTGGTCATCCTAAGATGGATACTAAGAAGCTGCCTGGAGGTCAGAAAGATGAGGGGTCAGAGGTCACACATCATAAGACCATGGCTGCCAAGGTAAGGGGCTGTTTATCTAGTTTAAATTTTTTTATTATTATTGTTTAAATTTAATGATGGTATGCAAGGTTTTATCAGTTCAATTTTAATAGTGAGTTTTTAGGGAGAAATCATTGGGTGATATTTATAATATAAATTGATTGGAATATAAAAAATTTAAACTGCTTTTTCCTCAATACGACTCACTGTTTTAGTCTTTGTTCGACAGGTAAAATACACAGACCGTCTATGGCAGTTCACCCATGACCTGAAGGCTTCCAAGGGATTTTACACACACTTTGCAGACGCTGTGTGTGAAAATGAAAACTTTGTGGTGCGCGACAAGTCCAGTCTCCACTGCTGGAATGGGGAGCACATGGGAAGGTAAGAGCCAGACAGTGTGTGTGTGTGTGTGTGTGTGTGTGTGTGTGTGTGTGTGTGTGTGTGTGTGTGTGTGTGTGTGTGTGTGTGTGTGTGTGAGAGAGAGAGAGAAAGAGAAATCCCACAGTTGGACTCCATATATGAAGTGTGAGAGGGAGACTCAGAAAGATGGAAAAAGAGAGATCCCAAAGTCATTACTGAAGAGCACCAGTCTCCCTCTCCCCACACACATGCACACACGCACGCATGCACACACACAGATGTGCTCTCCCAGTGAGAATGCTATTCAGTCATTGCATCTAAGGACATGAAGAAGTCAGGGTAATGGAGTTTTTACCTGACCTCATCGAGCGTCCTCTCTGTCCGGTTTTCTTGATTTCCCCAGGTGTCCACAGGTGTGCTCAAAAGTTGAATGAACGTTCTGTTCCATTAACTGATATATAGGCTAATTGGAGAGTTCTGCTCTTTGAATTCCAATGGGACCTGGACCCCATTCCCACAAAATTTAGATCGATCTTTCTCTGTGGGGAGTCTCACTAGATTACTGTCAGCTTAGCCGGCTTAAGCGTCTGTCTCCCCTACTAAAAGCTGTAAGGGGGTAATTAACTGTTGTGCACGCTAGGCTGACTGCAATTTCAACCCCCAGGGAGTTAGGTAGATCCAGATGGATCGATCTAAATCTCTGGGAATGCACTTCTAGACTGATGTTGGTGATTAAGGTTCCATTCCCAATGCAACTATCATTTGTCTTAGATTGATCCAACTCCTTGGAGACTAGCTGGATGCAATCAGATGAACAAATTAACATGCCTCCTCCTGGCATTGAGTAGAATACAGAAAGCTGGTGATTATATGAGTAGTTGGAAACAAGGTGTGATGATCTGATTGCATTCAGTGAGAGTCCTTGTGGAGTTGGACTGACCTAGTTGCTAGTTAGAACAATAGTTTCATTGGAAGTGGGCCCTAAATAACTTCTTTTACTGCTGTGTTGCCAGTCCCAATGCAGAGAATGGCATTTTGCTGTTAAAACTTGAGTTTAGTTAATACTATAAATCCCCTCTGAAGGAAATATATAATTGAATCAAATTTTAAAACACAAAATGAAGAAAAAAACACAATTGATAATTATAAGTTTTGAACGATGAATCGTTTACTGAAAAGCTTACTTGCCCAAATATTGTAATTAAATTTTCTCACCTGGAAGATGCGAGGGGCCCTCAGTTTAATGAACCTCCCCCTCACCAGGTGTCTCTGGAGATAGCACAGATAATACCAAGTGGTTTCATCCTTTGAAAGAGATGTTTTTTCTCCACTCGAGATAATGGATAGAAAACAGGGTTGTTTTTGCCGCTCTGAAACAGCTGGCAGCAAAGGCTGGTCAGTGAGGCTGAAAATGGAATGCCATTTTAATCAGCGTCTGTGTAATATGAGATAATGTTACCTGCTGCCGTGCAGGTGACTCATCTGAACTCTCTTCCACAGAGCCATTGCGTCTGTTAAGAAAAAAGAAAAGAAAGAAACATGATGTATGTTCTAAACAATGTCAACCAAGAATCTTGGCCAACTAAATAACAGTTTACAGTCTTTTGAAACTGTTGCCTGTGAAAATATTAGAACAGTGATACTGGGTTCTACCCACTAAAAGATTCTACAAGTGACTCTGGTGAGTCAGCCAAGTTAAAGAGACCTAATTGTTGGTGGAACTGTCTAGGACTGCCTTTACATAGCATAATTGACATAAATGGCTATTTTAGTTTAGTAGGGTTGACTTTTTAAGAAATGACATGTGAAACAGTTTGCTGATGTTACTGATGGAATTGAGGACTATCTTTGTGTCTCTTCACACTAGGTGGAGTTGTCGTGCATTTGAAAGGAATTTCTTCTCTTGTAAGACAATTACTTCCTCAGTTTTATTCACTGCCTGATTGTCATTGTTTTCAGTGTTTGTTGAAATGTGGTATTGAAATTCATCATAGCCACTGCTCTCACCTGCACATGGGAAATTTAAGAGAGAAAGAGGGGGGGGGGGATAGGGAATATTTCAGCTTTGTTCCATTTTAATTCCACAGGAAATTTTTTCAGTGACAATGGAGGACTGTTTAATGTTTGTGTGATCTGAGGTGTTGTTGTCTTTGGCTTTTTTCTCTGAGGTTTGTGTGTGAATGGAAGATGATCATGTTACTGTGAGTCACCAGGAGACAAAACACTGGGAGACGGAACAATGGCCGCCGTCACAGTCGCTTGAGTGACATCTGTGTTCATGCACACAGCATACGTTAATACTATCACATTTGTACCGAGGTCTCCTAATCATTTTGTGTCAGTAGAGATACCAGAATCATCCAACTGAAGAAAAACTATCAGTTTACGTGGCTCGTTATTTTACTCAAGACTCAATATATATTTAAGGAAAATTTGATTAACGAAGGGTTGTTGGAAAATATTATTTTTAAAAAGTAAGTTTGATTATAATCTAAGTCTTCTTCATGTTTGACTTTTTTCTCCTGATCTCATCAAGTATCATGACCCCATTATGCACACACACACACACACACACACACACACACACACACACACACACACACACACGACCTCTACCTCCTTATGTATCAAGTACATTGCCTGAGTGAAAGCAATTAACAAAATCAGCCCAGACAAGATCACATTCCCAGTGCCAGACAAAAACATACATCACATTAGTCTCATCAGTGCTGTCTTCATTGACCATAAAACTTCAGCAAGAACAATCTCAAAGTAAAACCTCTAGAAAGTGGTGCATTCTGCCTTCTTCCCCCTATTACCCTATGAAAACATACAGCACATTATATTATCAATGGTGCTGCCTTCATTTACTGCAAACAGTATGGATGAAAACACTCTACCACATTTTACTTAACAAGATCTAGATCTAATTTCCATTACCCAACAAAAACACACAAAACATTAAGTTATCAATTCTGTTAACTTCATTGACCATAAACCTTAAGAGTGAAAAGACTTATCCACATCTAACCTGACAAGATCAAGATCACATTTCTATTATCCAACAAAGATATAACCCTAAAAATCACATTTTTCTTTGACCAAAATTGATATGTCCCTGAAGCCCCTCCCTTCTCGTAATCCCATCACTTTTCACGAAAAAGACCCCCCCCCCCCCCTCCTGTGAAGCGGCTGCCTTCAGGCCAGGGTAAGCATGGGATTTGAGGACATAGGTGCTAAGTTAAAACCTCCACAGCCAAACTGAAAATTCACTGTAGACTGACTTAAGACCAGCTCTCTGAATGTGGGTTAAGGAGTCAATTTTATAAAAGTAAAGTTTCTTGGGATGAGGTCAGAGTTGCCCTGGGCTACAGTGGTCAGAAAACACAAAACTGTCTACATTTTTTGCTTGACTGGCAGCCTTTTTACTGCTTAGTGCTGAAGGTTTCAAGGGTTTCTAAGAAAACAAGATTACCTCCACTGGGGTAGCCCTAACACTTGCCAATTTAGCCAAGTGCTATAACTGACCTGAATGGTCTAAACAAAATAAGGTTGATTTGGCTTGTTTCAGTCAAGCTTAAACCATTTTGAGAAAAAAAGTTAGTGTATGAAAAATTAGTGATTTGGCTAAGTGAAAAAATTTCCTAGTGCTTCCCCAGCTTCAGTAGCAACAAAACTCAGGGTAGTTCTAGTCAGCCATGGTCCTGAGTAATGTCTGTACTGATAGACCTTCAGACAGCATCCACTTAATGTGGTACAATAGAATTAATGAGAACGCCAGTATTGAATGGGAATTCTGAGTTCTTAGTGTTTTTGCTGTCAGTTTGCTCAGCAAATCTGCTGTGTATTGTAATTGTGTGGATTGTGTCTTTGTGTTTGTTGTTGCTGAAAGGGTATTTGTCACGATTGATTTCAACTTCAGGAGGACTTGAAAACTTGTTTCATATGTATTAAAGGGTGATTTGGATTTTGGTTTGATTCATTTGTTGGTGTTGAGATTGTGGGGGACTAGAAATTTGTGATCATTGATGCTTAAAGGATTTTATTGAGTGACAATAGTACAGTGATGAAATGTCATGTACGGGATTAAGAATTCTAAAGAGGCGTCTTTGGCTGAGTCATTTCAGGGAGGATGCAGCCATGTTTTAATTTGCGTGAGAATTTGAGGGAAACTAGGTGCAGTAATAGACTTCAAAGACCACATTTACTCACTTAAGATTCAGGAATAATTTTGAGAGTAAAAAGGAATACTTAAGTGATGATTAACACAGATTACTGATATAAATTCCTTCTTTCTTTTAGAGCCGCAATAAGTTGCTGACATTTCTTGCTTTTTGTTAGAAAATTTAGAGGAAAAGGTCTTTAATAATAAAACGAAGGTGAAATTTGATGAAACCCACTTTGTTCACTTGAATCCAGATGGAAGAGATTTTACACACCATATCAATCAAAAAAGCAAAATAAAGTTATCAGTTCTCATTGGATTATAAAAACGATATTAATTTCTCATAGTGAGGAGATGATCAAGATGAGTGAGGAAACAGAAGTTTGTAGTTTGTAAATTTGGGAAATTAATTCTACTTCGGTGCAGCAGTATCGTACTAAGTGGTGCCCCATTAGGTTAAGCGTAAAGAGCAGAAAAAATGTTCTTGAAGTAAAGGTGAAATTAATTTCTCCGTCTTTCATCAACTGGTGGCAATATTACGTAGCAGGTGAAATTAGAGAGGAAATTGACTGGGATGAAAAAAGAGGTAAAAAGAGGTATGATTGCTGCCATTTATCTTCTGGTGGAGATGTGTAGCAAAACATGAAAAACCTCTGCTCTCCCTTCTCCCTCACGCACGCGTGCGCACACACACACACACACACACACACACACACACTTTTTATTAACTTCTTAACATTTTATTTAAATTTTGATAAAGGTAAACCTGTTTGGAATGTTAGATATTTCTTAAAACATTGTTTGATGCACAGTGTCATAATATAATAATACCTTGGATAGCAGTCTTTCTTTCTTTCCATAAATAATCAACTTGTGCAAGAGAAAACCCTGAATAAGATTGATTTTTTCTTTCCAAATCACTGCAGTTTAAACCAGCAGTCTTGAGGCATCCTCAGAACACTCATATCAACTAATGAAATTAATTGTCAAACATGAAGAATGATGTGATAGATGCTGGGACAGGTTTCTCGCATTGACAGCTATCTAATGCAATATTGAACTGAGATCTCAATGCAGTCTATTGATTACTGCTTGAGTAGGCCTATTACCAAAGACAACTTTCATGATTTTTGCCTCCGATGAAAATTTCTTTCCAAGGGAATTTCTTTCTAAGGGAAATTTATCCAAGAATAAAGATTACATGACCTTTATAAATGTAGTTTGGAGTGTTTTGAAAATGTGTATTAGGAGCAAATAATTGATAGAATGTGAATTCTTTAGCAGCCAAAAAAAAAAGGAGTGCAATAAAATGATGGCACTTAAAGTATATTGCTATATACTGTTGGTTGTAAAGAATAAGAAATCATCTTTCCATGATCTCTCTCTCTCTTCATCTTTTGATCATAGATCATACTGGATATGTATCTTAGTACTATTGATTTATACTGCGGAGTACATGGCTGACCTTATCATTATTTACCCAGGTGATGAAGATTCCTTATGATGCTCAATTTTTAAAGTTTCTAAAACAGAAAATGCCTGCTAGGAAAAATTTACAAATACGAGTGTTTGAAGTTAGTNGAAAAAAAAAGGAGTGCAATAAAATGATGGCACTTAAAGTATATTGCTATATACTGTTGGTTGTAAAGAATAAGAAATCATCTTTCCATGATCTCTCTCTCTCTTCATCTTTTGATCATAGATCATACTGGATATGTATCTTAGTACTATTGATTTATACTGCGGAGTACATGGCTGACCTTATCATTATTTACCCAGGTGATGAAGATTCCTTATGATGCTCAATTTTTAAAGTTTCTAAAACAGAAAATGCCTGCTAGGAAAAATTTACAAATACGAGTGTTTGAAGTTAGTGTTGGATTATATCCCTTGCTGAGAAGAAGCCATTGAAGAAATATGTAAGAAGAAGAGCTCAGCTGGCCCTGAAAAGGGCAACTGTCTCGAGAGATTATGAAAGATTATAACAAACTGGTGAGCACTGATGTCAAAGTGCTTGATCGCAGCTGGAAATCTGCAAAAATACAAGAGCAGACCTGTGGCTGTAGAAATTTGTTGCCTTCAGCAAAGTTTAATTAAGATGCACATGTTGAAAGAAGTTGGTTTTCATTCTAAAAGAAGTTTAATACATCTCGTAAGGGTTTCTTTTACAAGTGAATTTACAAACAAAACAAACCTGCTTTTTATTTTTAACAGATATATAAGTTTTGGTATCAATTGGCTGTTGAGCCTTAGTTTAAAATAGAAAATATTTCATTTTAAGCACCCTTAGTTGAGAATAGAGGCAACATTTGTAACAGAGATGGCTGTAAGATATAGAGCAATTTTATGTCAAGGTACTTTTATAGATTTTTTTCCTGAACAGTGCAAATGATTTGAATGACTGATTGATTTGCAGTATTTTCTTATCAATGTTAACCTGGTAGGTGTAGCTATTTTTTAAATGAGCTCAAACTGCATGGACAAAAAAAGAGCAGACTTTTTACCAGATCTGTCCTGATACAAATAGATGGCAGTGGCTGTTAGGGCACCAAGTGGGTATTTTATTGCAGAGGAAGTGTTTCACCTGTCTTCAAGGAGCCAACATAAACAACGCTGGGATGAGGAAAATCTAGTTCAATTAGCTTCAAGCTGCTAGACACCAGATCAGGTGTTTCTATCCCTTCAGACATCCATCAGGCATTTTTTTGTGATAGACAGAAAGAGGTCCCTGATTTTCAAAATGATATTCATCTATTGAGGAATATAAAATATTTTTGCAAGGAAACCTATCAGATAGTCTTTCTCTCATTGTTCATTATGTTTTTAATGTTTTGGGGTATTTTTAGGACGTCTCCCTTTACCTGTCAAACAAAAAGAGTTTTGGGGTCTGGTTTATGTGGCTTTTAGTACTTGAATTTAGTACTTGAATGTGAATTTATCCTGAAGATATTGAAGATAGTTCAAGGGCAGTTATGTTGTGCAAGCAATGATAATATATACACCGGAGTCTCAGTCTCTCTCTCTCTCACATATATATACACACACACACACAGAGAGAGAGAGAGAATTGTCATTCAGCTCAGACACATTCATAAAGTGATAATATTGTGTGGTGTTCAGCAGGTGGCAGTTCAGTCACCCAGACAATAACCAGTCCATTCTCTCCACACAGCCAGAATGCTGGCCTGACATGCATTATAGGTGACAGCACATTACTCATCTCTTCAGGCACGTTCTCAATCACTTTAGGTCACCCTTACTCAGTACACCCCACTGTTGGCTAATCATTAGGAGAGAGCCAAATCTTCTGTTTTATTGATGGGAACTTTACAGATTACTTTAATGTATTTTTTGCAGCATTTTTCCATATCAATAATCTTTTTTTTTTCTAAAGGTGTTATATTTTGTGTTAAAAAACATGTACCCATATTACAAATTTTAACAATTGTTATATTGACAACCTTGCTTGAGAGGCACACTTAAAGTAGCCGAACCTATCTTTACTGGGAACAGGACTTAATTATTTTGTTTACACAGTTTTGGACCTCAGCAGCCATTATGAAACGAAGCAGACAGGAATATAAAGTTGGTCAGTATCATCCTGTTTATCACTTCATGTCCCTAATAGGGCCACTGCATGCATTGTGGGAGACAAGCAGTGCATTGTGGGATGCAGACATTATCAATTCATAGCTTGGTATTCACTATTAACCTTTGGACCTCTGTTTCAAAAAAATCTATGAATGCACCCACTCTTTCCTATATATTCATCCCTATGTAATTTTCCCTATTGACCTTCAGAGTGCTGACCATAGGTTATCAATCAGACTTCTCCTTCCTGATGAGAAAACTAAAATAGATATATTCCATATTTAGTCAAAGTTAACTTACTATAATACATAGGAGTATTGGAACATTTCTCTTACAAAACAACAACACAGTAAAGCTACATGTATGATACAACTATTATTTTGAAGCTTGGTTTTTTGGCATGTTTTTAATAAAGCTCTGCCTGCACTCAGTCTGGTTGCTATAGCAACAAGCATTAGTCTTGGCAGGACATCACTCACACGGACTGAGTTACTAAGTACTTCACCTACTTTATAGAGCCATTTTGCTGAAATAATTTATTTTATGAAGTGATATATGTGCTCTCAATTTTTGGGCAATTTGAAGTCATTTCAGTGTAGATTTTATCTGTTAAGATCTGAGAACAAGGAAAATTTTCACCAAAATGGGATTTTAATCAGTGATCTATCAATTACATAAAAGCTTTTGCTTACAGCTAACATGTGATTGATAGCCCAATCAAGCTGATCAAGTTGTTTTGTAATTGAAACACACCAAAGTCAGTACAAACATTGTGTCCTATCCATGTGAGAGTTGTAGAGATTGTGTTAGGTGAGACAGACATTTGTGTTGGGTGAGACAGATGTGTTAGGTGAGACAATGTGGTGGCATTAACAAAGATGAGTAAGCAATGTGATAAGCTTCACTGAGCAAACATCTTGCACCTTGATGGCCTCAAGAACTTACAGAATCCAAAATATGTGTGAATATTTGTAGTGTGATTAAAAATAACAGAGAGTTTAAAACTATTTGCTTGAACATCTTGATCAGTAATTCATAAGACAAGACAATATTTTTGTTTTTCCCATCAGTCAGAAAAATAATCTTTTTCACCAGTCAAAGATAATGTAATAAAACCTTCCCCATACTTCCAGATATACCAGCAATGTGACAGAGGTGGGGTTGATTGCACAGGTCAGGTTTAACCCCGAGATGACCGTAGTCCAGGGAAGAACTACCACTGTGATTACACTGAAAGACAAACTGATGCACATGGCAAAGGTAGGGTTAAGCTGAAGATGAATGATTTGGTTTCTGAAAATATTTACAACGTTTGTATCAAATTATGAATTATCTATATCTTGTTATACCACAAAATGTTATTAATTTATTTATGCTGAATGAAGCAAGCTAAAAACTTTTATACAAACATAAGGCCAATTACCATATTTTTAATTTTAAATTTTCTTTGTAAGTCAACCAATTCTGTTCAAAATTAAATTTAAAAATCGTAATCTGTGTGTTTCTTAGCAACTGGAAAGTAGTGCCCAGAAGGAGAGCCGTATGCAGGCCGACCAGTGGGTGGTCGCCATACACAACCACTACCCTGACAACTTCCCCGGGAGTGGGGACGGCGCTCTCAATGATGACGAGGACTTTGGGCAGGGGTCTGGGTCAGGTTTTGGGGGTGACAATGATAATGATGGTAAGTGTGTGTGTACATCCATCTCTCTCTCTCTCTCTCTCTCTCTCTCTCTCTCTCTCTATGTGTATGTGTTTTAAGAAAGTCGTGAGACAAGGATTTTTGAGAGATTTCCTTTGCTAAGTTACATTATGAACACTTATCTTGATAAAACCATCAAAGTTTAAACCTAAATGTTAAGTGTGAAGAAATTTCTGTTAATTAAAAGAACTTGCACAATTCCAGGCCAGAGCTCCAATCCAGAGTGGGACTTTGGTGATGGATCATCAGACAACAGCCAGCACGACTCCATCAATAAGAATAACAAGCCAAATCCTGGGGCCGCAGAGACCAAAGGCCCCACTGGAGAGAGCTTTGCGCTCCGCGTTACTCTCACCTCCATTATTGCAACGACTTTTGCTGCTGTATTATGGGTAAATGGATGAAAATGGAGCAGATGACCCATATTTGATTTTATAGTATATATACAGATAAATAGATGTGTATAAAAAAGTGGCACTCTCATTGTATGACATTTTATTTCATTAATGGCTTTGTCTGATGTCACAGCTACATGTAAACTTGTACAGTTCAGTCCATGTGCACACTGTTAAGAAAATGACCAGAAAGGTGGACATTAACTGGACATGAAGTTACCAGCAGTTGTATCTATAACTAAGCCCCAAGGCCACGGTTTTACATGCACAGTCAAGGTGCCTACGAATGTGAAGGATTTCTTATGGATAACAGCTTATTAGGCAAAGAAAAATGGAGGGTTTCATTTTTCACCTGGAAAGGATTCTTCGCTGCACAGAAATTTTGAAGTTATCCCCTCTGCAATATTTCTTATTTGACATTGTGGAAGGTAAAACAGGAGGAGTTCGTAACACTGGGATCATGGAACTATTTTTTCGATGCGGGTGACGAATGACAAGAGTCCGGGATTGTTTATGAAAAGTTTTTTGTGTGAATGTCAGACCAAGGAGCAGGACTTATAATGATCACAGCATTTACAAAATTTTTGTAACAAAAACTAATCATATGAAGATTTCGGCAGTGTTGTGAATGGACATGTTGACATTTGAGGAAAAGGTACACATAGATATGCCAAATGAATACTTTATATTTATATTCATATATATTCATATAAACTACAAAATATGATATATCTTCAACATACTACAGCAGACAAGATTTCAGCATATCCATTTTTGTTTCTTGTAAAGAAGTCTTCAGATAGATAAATTTGGTAAGAAGGTTGTGATTGCAGTTCTAGGTCAAAGAAGTAGTCCAGTGCCATCTTATAAACAATATGGCTATATCAACTGCTGGGGATATACATGGTATCTTAGGATTTCAATTTCATATCAGACATATTTTAACATGCAAGTCTTTTTTTCAGCAGTTAAGGGAGAAGTATCTTCATCTTTTTAAATGTTTATCCCTCCACCACCCCCCCCCCCCCCAAAAAAAAATCAGAAAGTTGGCTGTGAGAAAATGCCTCAACTTTATGATTATAATATTGCAGAGTTTGTAAAAAATACAGTATGAAAATTGAAAAAAAAAAAGACTCCCCACATTGAACAAAGGAATATTCCCAATATATTTGAAGAAGGGATTTCTCTCCCACCTACCAAAGTTGTTTCCCACCTATGCCATAATATAACCCACCAAGAAAAAAGATCCCCCCAAGTCTCTCATGACCAAGAAAAAGATAGTACTGCCACCATTTTGAAATGGAATTTTTTCTTTATGTCAAGATATGGCATATAAGATCTGTCATGTTCTATTCCCCTCTTTAATTCCCTAGATTGCTTAAGGCCAAACTGTTTAATCGAGGCATGGAAAATTTCAATACTTAGAAGCAAAAAAATGAAGCAATTTCCTAAAAATTTGAAAGGAAAATAGCTGCAATGAACTTTTGATTGCATCTGCAAAATACAATATCCTCACGGCAGGAAATTTCAGTCATTACTGTAATGAAAAACAAGGGGTAAAAATGAGCTCATTTTCTTATTTACTTTTTTGTGTTTAGTGTACCAGAAAAATGTAATATAATTATATGCCCACATTTTTGAGAGAGATTGAATATGAGATTGAATATGGTGGTGAAATAATCGCAAACTAATTCCATATTAGATGTTAGTAAATGTATTGCTCATCAAATTAGACATAAGTAAAAAGCTGCTCCTCAAATTGGATATAAGTAATGAGTGCTTTTCCTCAAAAAGTCTTTTTAGGTGCTTCAGTGATTCTCTAGTTAAACATTTAATTATTGACTTTTTAGTCTGGTTAAAGATGTTAGGGTTTTGATAAATAAAATGGAAAACATCTGTTTTTAATTTTACTGATAGGCCTTGAATTTTGTATGTCGGGTGATTTTTTTTTTTTTTTTACTGTAATCCAATTATAGCTGCAAAGTATCATTTTAGTCATTTTAGCAAAGTAGGGTGCTTACTTTTATATGTATTGTATACAGTAGATCATGGTTTAAGCATATAGATGAATACCTTTTGGTTTTCTTAAGTCTAAGTAGAAGGGCAACCCTAGGAAATATGATACAGCCATTAGTGTTTTAGCATTTTCATTCATTGAATGAGAAGTCACATTAATTTAATTCTTGATTGTCAGATGTCAGTAACATGTACAGAAAGAATGTATAGATAGTTGTAATGCAACAACAATATTGTTTGGAATTTTAAAACAGGGGAGCACAGTGAGTTATGTGATGAAATACAACATTTTGCACTTATGGAGAATTTGTACTTGGCTGATTAAAATGGTTATTCTATTAATTATATGAAAATTATGAAATATGCATATCATCTTGAAAAGAATTATGCATCAAAGAGCTCCAAGGTATAGTTTCAGTATTTCAGTCTCAGCCCAAATATTTAATTTACAGTGAACAGCTCAAAAATCTTGTAGAGAAAAAAATAGACATCGAATCTGAATCGAAATTTTTCGCTCTGCACAGGTCACAGTTTAGTCAACATCAGAATACTCCCAATCACTTAATTGCTGTGATTTCCAAGGATTTCCATGTCACATGATGGATCACATGATGAATCACATGATGGGTCACATGCAGATATTTACCTCATTCTACCTTGTCACATGACATGTCACATGACCAGATATTTTGTTTGATAATTTTAATCCGAACAGACACTGAAGCAGTCTTAACATTGGAAACAAAATTCTTTTATTGCATATTACTTCAATATATATGCAATTTAATTATTACTGAAGAAGGAATTCGTTAGTACGTGTCATCTTTAATTTTGCTTGAATGCTTTTGAAACCAGATTATTGTGCATTTAGTTTACAAATGTGCTGTATTAAAACCAAATGAGTTTCACGGGTTAAACAGTTAAGTCTTGATCAAAAGGTGACCTCAACAATTGATGCACAATATAATTCATGACTGTAAAGTTTGAAGCTATATTTGATAGACAATTAGGTACGTTTTTCTCATTCTGCATTGGGTGTTTTTTTTGTCAGTATATCTGTTCTTCAAGTAAAAGTTGAAGCATGCCTGTGTATTAATGTTCTATGTAATACTTTGTAATGAAGGTTTGTAGATGCCTTTATTCACAACTTTAACACAGGTTTTTTAAATACATTAATTTACTTCGGGACACTGAATATTTAATATTAGTGAGATTAGAGACATGTTGGATCTTCCACGTAGTATGTATCAACATCAGTCAAATGTGATAGTTTTTTTTTTTTTTTAAGTTTTTCACTTAAATATCAAACTTGCTTATGTGTGTATATATTTCACGCGTTGTGAAGCCACATGCCTTGGGCTCTCTAGACCATGTTAGGTGCTGCAGCAGATATATTTTGGATCTGTTATTTGAAATAGTGAAAGAAAGCTTTTTACATCAACTCTATAACACTATTTTCCAAGCACTGCTTCCTAAATGTGAGGGCTGATGAATCCTAAAACTCTTCAGCTTTCCTCAGAAAATGCATGCAATATTTTATTGTATCATAAATAGAAGAAAGATTAAAGACAAGTTGGCACATTTCAGTCTGTACCAGGAAAAGAAATATCAAACGTGTATATTGTAGTAGAGAGATCACAAGTAATTTTGTACCATTAAATCGGGTAGTATGTATACAGTATACTATGGTAGAAAGCATTTATTCATGCAGATAAGTTTGAAGAGCAACTTTGGCAGTGAGTGTACATTGTTATGGACCGTTTTCAGTTATAACTGAAGTAAAATGAGCATTTCAACATATTTCTGTAAGTTTTCTTCTTCTTGATATTTGAATTAAATGCTTGATATATCCACTTGTCTAGCAATCATATTTCAACAGGGAATTCAAATATAGTTTAAGTAATTTAAAAAGCATTCGCGATTCTTATGTAAGAATATTCTCGCCAGTGTTAGTCTCGACTGACAGAAGGAAACCGTTCTTGGATTGCGTTCACGTGCAACAACTACAATCACAACTACTGCAATGGGAAATCATATGCGTTACTTTGTGAGCTGTTTATAATGTTATGATTTTGTGAAAATGTGAAGAAATGAACGGCTTGTATTGGTAATGATAACAAACATTTACAAACGCGAAAAGTGTTTGAAGTGTTTGCTACAGAATCTTGCGTTATCTATTTTATCTATACTTTAATCTTCCTTTTTTAACTTGATTATATGTGGGTGATACGAGATTAAATAATCCCCATTGCATTTTCATATCGGAAAATTACAAATTGTTAAATTAATATAAACACCATTATCATTAGAAGAAAAGATGACGGAGAAGATTCTCGTCTTTAGTCTTTGAGGGTAGCGTGTGTTAATTTTCCGCTCGAAAGCCCGGTACAAAATCTAAGCTATTCTTTTCAATCATACTGTATGCTTTTGCGTCGAAGCTGTCACTTATTAGCGTCATTACCCCCGTTTCATTGCGACGAGACATAACCTTACAATACCCGCATTCACTCTCACATCTTCATTAGTTTTATTATCCACATAAATGTCGTTCAGAATTCAATTGTATTCCAGAATTCCCGACTCTTAACAAATATGATAAGGGGGAGGCGCTTAAGGGCCTACTGCGCTCTAGGAANCAAAGTAGTAAAGACACATCAAAAGCAAATTAACGAAAGGAAAATTCAAAGATGACACTCTACAAATATTTATTGTATTTTTCATTGTTTTATTGAGAAAACTTCTTATATAATACAGTAGTTCTCTCTCGCACACTTTTTTCTGTTAACAGAGCCCCCCCCCTTTTATTTGCATAAGATCCATTCACCATCTACTCAAAAATATTTTTCATTACAGCTTTTTAGCTGTCATTACTAGAGAAAATCCATATATAAAATGTTACGTAAATATGCTATCGGTACGCGGTCCATGGCACCGAAGAAGATGTATTAACGGGCCGCGCTGGATTCCAGAGCGCTTCGCGTGACCATTGTCCCGGTGTAGAATTTCTTTCAATTATTTTCCCAACATTAAGTGTTACAGAAGACGCTAATGCTCTTCGGTATTTGTGAACATTTGCTTGAATCATCCATACACGTGGTCGCAGATCGCCAACGTCGTTGCCCCGAACGTGAATCATACGAACACCGCTATGTGTATGCAGGGGGCGTTCAATGGAGACGTGGATTAAGGCCCAGGCCTATGGATTGCTTACCTTTGTCCTGTGTGAACAATTGAATCGAATGGTTTAGGATGATTAAATTACCTGTGTTGAAAACGCACTCGTTAGAAAACAAATAACGTATAAAGTCCCCGTCGCAAGCGGCGCAAACATGTTTGGAAGCTTGGTTTCTTTACTCGGTCGTTTCTGTTCTAAAACCATGTCAAATAGAACGGGAGGAGCGCAAGCTTTTAATATTGTACTTATGTGTATTTATGTAACATTCTATGTACCTGTGCAACTTGTAAATGTATTTATTTCATGTAGTTAAAAGTAATGTCCATGATCCGATGATTGTACGTTAATGAGGTATTTATCAATACAGATTCCATATAGCATCTTCAGTTTCTCTAAAAAATAAATTTTTCCATCTGTATTGCATTGGCAGGAATCGGCATTTGGCGGTTAGGGTCTTAACAAAGGTGCCAATTTCACTATTTAAGAAATATTTTGCTTTACATTCGCTCTAATTGATTAATTTCTTAATTGTTGTAATTTGACATCTAGATGTCGTTGATCTCGTAATTTGTACTGCCCGTAAAGTATCCAAATACTGCAAGAACGTTCATTTTTTACACGTGTAATAAAAAATCCTTAGGTATGTGACTATGAAACTTTATTCATTCTTTACCAGGCCGATTTGGTGAAAGTGCGCAGTGACAAGTTATGTAGATAATATATAGGTATTTTACATAAATACAAATAAGCCAACTCTGTAGGCATAGAAATAGACCTTCGTGGGGGAGTTATAATTACTAATCATTATTATTGGGTGGAAGATGAAGCACTATTTCTTTTTTCTGATGAGAAAATAAGGTATTTATCATAGCAATTACAACAGCCTATCACTTGAAATGGCTTCTGTATTTCACACATCCCAAACTTCTTTGAACAGATATTTTTATGGCATAACTTATCGACATTTTCATTTATTTTCATCTGTCTTTAGTTTCTATATATAAATTAAGTATAGTTTGTATATATATTCACATAGAGACAACAACAATATTTATAAAAATAATTAACTTTATTGGTTTCAGCTTGAACCCATCATACATCGTATGTGATGTTATACGACGGTTATATCCTAACAATTATTTGATTTTACAGTAATATGGCATATGTTTAATCTGAAGTAAATAAATGAAGATCTTTATATAAATAATACAACTGGTAGCAGAAATTAAGATTAAAAGCCGTTTACTCTTTTTTCGATTTCTGTGCGACGGGAAAATTAAATTAAATTAAATTAAATTAAATTAAATTAAATTAAATTAAATTAAATTAAATTAAATTAAATTAAATTAAATTAAATTACCTCATCTCTTTAAGAATGACAGGAGAGATGCCCTTAACATTTGAAAATAAATATATAACAAACTCACGCAATTTCAAACTCAATTAAGTTTTAAATTCCTGTCTTATGAATCACTTCTATCATATAAATAGATAAATCGGATTAAAAGCGATTCTTCATTCCGCCCACGTCAGCGGGAAATAACCCGATGTTGTCGCTGTGAGCTGTGCAGTAAGAATGCTCACCGAGCGATCGTTACCGCCTTGTTTGCTCATCAGTTGCAATCATAATCTCTTCTGGACACAAAGACAGGTCTTTCATTTTTTTATCCATATATATAAATATCAAAATAAAACTACAAAAATATTGACGAATACATAAGCCCCATTCACACGTACATGGTTAATCGAGATTTAGGGAATCGCGATTCTAACGCGCTTAGCTAAATTCACTTTTTTGCGTTCACACATGTAAAATCGAAATCGCGATTTACCTTGCTAGATCTGGTAATTGCAACTGTGCTCGCTAGGGGAGTCACGGTATATCCTGTTGATCATGCGCAGTAGCTGCCTTCAAGACCATGCTTTCGGTGTGTACGGTGTTATTTTCTGTTTAATATTCTCATCGGCCCAAATATTTGTTTATGCTGCCACTGAGTTTTCAGACCATACTTCCTCTTGGCCATTTTGCTGACTGCGAAGAAACTTGAAATTGCGTGGACAGTTTGTTTTCTTTCACTTTCCAGTCGGCGAATAGCTGTATTTAGCTAATGTTTCGTTTCAATTCATACCCGACATGAAATAAAATTTATTGTATTGTATTGTATTGTACTTTCGATAGAAACTATGCACGCGCCTTAAGTCCTCAACTTCCGGTGTTAACATCGATCCCGTTCTCACTAGGAAATTTTATATCGCGATTAAAGTTTACATCGATAGAATCCACCTCTCGAGTAGGATTAATTTGAATCGCGATTTGGCGTCTCTACTGCGTTCACACTAGAAGCTTTACATCGATAGAATCGCGATTTGGCACTAATCGCGATTGAAAGTGTCTCGTGTGAATGGGGTTATAGTGCTTCAATGTCATTTTTTCCTTGGGTCCAATTTCTTACGTCACTGACTTCGTAACTGAAGAGCTTTAATTGAATTAAGGCAAACGGAACTCTTTTGTGTAAAAAGGGCTGGAATCTTGTATTTGCTATTCCAGGATACTCCCTCTGAAAGAAGCCATTCACAACTCATCAGCAGTGGATAAAAGAGAGGGTCGAGAAATAATTAGGTGTCATTTCACAGCACTTCTCATGGTTAAGGGTTGTTTTAAACTGAGAATATTTGAATCAAACCAAGTTTTATAGTACTTTTGGTTACTTGACTAGCTATCAAAATACAGGGGAGGACATCAACTATTGGATTGGCATCTTTGAGTAAGTGAGTGTAGAGGCAGTGTGTATGTTGTGAGAGAAAGACAGCTGAAGAATTCGGGAGAATTAATACAACAAACTGTAGAGAAAACGGATGATACAGCGCAGGAGTGCTTCGTCTTCACATACTGCCTTATAACAACCAGGCAGTGAGTTCGCAGACCAGGATTCTCGGTCAAAAAACGACTCTGTTTTCGCCTCACAGCGATGAATGACAAAATGGCGGAGCTAGTTACCAAGTTTACGAGAACTCTGTGGCCTTGTTTTGCCGCTTTGCTTTTATACCTTATCACAGATACCTCTGCCTTGTACTGCCAGCCAGTTAAGAATGTTTACAGTTCTAGAGGAGCCAACTTTGATAGAAAGGATATTCCCTTGGCACCATTATCAGGTACGTATTCACTCTATTGTACAAGCTGATCTCCGTAACTCGCTCAGTAAGTTTTTGTGAATGTTTCCGTGGGGCAGTGCGTTTTGAAAGCTGCTAGATCTACAGTGTACACATTGGTATGTTCTACAAAATTTTTGATGTGCGCCTTTTAGTTTTTAAACTTTTTGTTTTGTAAGACTGTACTAGTAAGCTACATGTTGTGCGTTATTTGACCCTCTAGTTGAAAGAACATCGTTTTTATGTTGGGGCAAGACCAGGTCATGTAAAAGTGATTGAAATTAAATAAAGTGATTAAACTTGAAATTTGTATTTCACAAGATAGGCATGTTTTTTTTCATTATTTAAGATTAAAAAATGAGGTATTCATTTTTGTTTTATATGCATTTTGTGTCACAAATCAAAATCAAATATGGGAAACATTCTTGAGAAATACATTTACTGGTATGGAAAAAAATCAATATTAAAAAGTTCAAGTCTGCATTTTCCTGACAATTTTGTTCAGCAGACAGGTCTTCTCGGTACTATCAAAAACAACAAAAATGTAATGATAATACTCACATTTTTTCTGAGAGCAACTAACCTCGTTCTCCGAGTTCCACTCCTCGTTATGTAAACATCCTAAGACATGTTGCCATGGAAACCACCAGCTTTTCTCCTGTTTATATAGGATATACAAGAGGAGCATGCTGGTTTTTAGACCTTAGTATATTTTTCCTGTCACTGCTTATTTTAGACTTGCCTGCAAAAACACTTATTTCATAGCACCTCCCAAGTCCTGATATTTTTCAGGAAGTCCTGGTCTTTGATAAGATGTTTGGCCTGTTTTCTATCTTCTAGATGAAAAAGGTGGTGAAGTTTCCATGGTGATATGCATAACATGGTCCATAATATCACGCAAACAGTTATAAATTGTTTAAAATAGTAAAATTACACAGCTTACAGGTTTCTATGAAGGTCTCAAGCCCCGGAAGACCTCTTTTTTGGATTAAAAAATAAATCTTTTAGAACTAAAATTCTAGGACCAAGATGAAAGAAATATTGAGCTTTGCATTTGGCAAATAAACTACTGATTAAGTGCATTCTATGATTAAGTGCATACTGCATTATATATTTTCTTAATACTATTTAGTTTTTGATAATCATTTTAAAATTAAGTTGTAGACAAGTTTGGATTTTAAAAACAAGATAAGCGTTCACTGGGATTTGTATAACACACCTATATATATTAGATGCCAGATGATTCACAAGCCTGTTCATGTTACAGTTTGTGAAGTGTTTTGTTAATTACACAAAAGAGCATGCTCAGCAAATGACTTCACAAGTGACTTTGTCATCTTTCCCAACCCCAGCAGGTGGGTGCTAATTTGGGAGGTGAAGTACCTGAGCTAGCACCTCACCCTTCAGGCTAATACTAACCTCTGGGTGTTGCAGTGATATGAAAAGTGGAATTATACTTGAGGTAGTATACACTAGCTCAAAATAGACCGAGCATGAATCGGGCCAAAATTTGTTAGTAGTTGTAATGAGCATTGTTGTCCAAGGCACATGCGCCTTGTGTATTTGGTTTCTTCAAAAAGATGTACACTTATACTTCTCTAGGAGGTTATCTTTACCATTTAGTCAGATGTAAATTTGTTTAATTTGTTGTGTCTTGTGAATTTGTCTTGATTTTCTCCTCAGAGGCTTACTTGTGGTACAATCATGTCAACCCATTCAATTACACATAATAAGCCCAATACTGACCCATGATTTAAAATACTTGCTTTTCTGAACCAATTGAATTGTTATCGCACCTTGTTAGTGTGATGCCCATTTTGCTGCTGAGTCGTTTAAAACACTGGTCGTTATTAAGTTGGTATGATGTCATCACCCCCAGGGGGTGGGGTAAAGCTGCTGTAGTACATTATTAATGGAGAACATTGCTATTACATGTAATGATGATGTAGGGATTGTTTGGTCTTTGAAAATGACATGTTGTGTTTAAAGGGATAATAACTCTTCGTATGAGATCTATATTTCACAATAAAAACCTTGTGAATAACTCATAGAAATATAATATATTCTGTTTAACCACAAAAACAGCAGTTATAGCTATTATTCTGATATCTGAACTTGTCTTTAGACCACGTGACCTCCATTGATATCTATACTCTGTTAAAATCTCTTAAGAGATTTTAACAAAAAAACAAACTTTTTAGAAAAAAACCAGGGACTAACTTTGAATGTAAAAATGGATTCATTAATCATTGGTAAGTATGGGAAAATTGTTGTTTACTCCAGGAAAATTCATTTTTTGGCCGAAACGAAGAGTTATTATTGCTTTAAGTATTCAATGACTTCATTATCTTCATCTAAAGGTGATGATGTGCCCTTTCTAGTTAAGGATGTGTCAAAATGCCAGAACAGGAAAGGGTTGGGTAGAGGGAGGGGGGTTGTTGTTATTATTATTCTAAAATCAGCCAAGCTGCTATTTTCTGATAAGATATTCATCTGAAGAGAGGAGAGAAAATTGTTACTAAGGTACCCCCCAGCTCCTCCCCTATTGGCTTTTGTGATTAGACGATCTCGGAAAGTGCCACTAATAGCCGTGCCTGTTTAATGTTTTGTAAGTTATCTTTGGGATGCTCGTTATTTATCTTCAGGATTCTCATTTCTAATCTGCCTAATGTCTGTGACTTATCTGGCACAGGGTTACTTCCCTCTTTGCATCGGGGAATGAAGAAATTGGCCAGTGGAAGAAATCACAACTTAATTTATACTTCAGATAACTAGGTGTCCATGCTGGGATTTTCAGTGGAAAAAGAATGAAAGGAATTTGGAGGAAAAAAATAATAATAGAAAGTAAATAGGAAATTGAAGGAATGGTGGGTTGCACCTGCAGCGTTAATGTGAATAGTAGATGGACAAACCTGGAAGAGTATGAAAAGAACATAAACGTTACTAAATTTTGACCAACAAAAGTTTTTAGCGCTAAAAGAAAACAGTTGATGTATTGCAAAAAGTCAGTGTTTATGTCTTGAGAATTCAATTCATATCAGTCTATTTTGTTCTTGTATATAAAGTAAGGTATACTGGCAGATTGGGAGGCTGGCAATAACATCTTATATTATCTTTAAAAGCAATTTCACTCTGACCACTTTTTAATGGAAGACTTGCTTCTGAACAACAGAAATGTTCACTTGTATCTCCCCGCCATTTGATGTGTGGATTGATTGTGTCCAACATTGTGTTTTCTCATTATATGTAATGGGTAACAGCCATTGTAAAATGGCCATTTCTGGTGGTCACCAACAACCACTTTCAAGCACCTGTCATCAGTTGCATTATATTATAATACCATATTTTCTCATTACACACAAAGTTGCAGTGTAAAACTTAACAGCATTGACTGGCGTTGTGTAACACCATATTTTCCCATTACGCACACATTTTCCAACGTCCAGTAATGTCCACTAAAGTGGGCGGCGGCGGTCAGTGGTCACTTCAATGTGTGTCCATCATCAAATCAACAACACGATGACTTAATACTATAAGCTTAACCTCCAGGGCAGGATCTACCCAGCAAGGCAGAAATCAGTAGTAATTTTCAGCTTACAATTTCCTTTGTCCCTTCCTTAAAGACCCAGGGTGGCCGCACAATAGACATAATACCCAGTCAGTATTGGAGGATAAAAGGACCAAAAATGGGGCCTCTCTCTTGAGCACTCATCAAGTAAACAGGGTCGCTTATTTCCCCCCTACTCACCTTTCCTGCTCCGCAATCTTCTTTTGTTATGGCGGAGAACAAAGCCAACCTGCTTGATTTTTCGGCGAGTGCTCGATCCTTTGAAATGTGCAGACTGAAGGAAATACCCCCCTTTTTTCCAAATATTGATATTCTCTTTATTTGGACTGGAAAAATAAGCCAGGTTGATTGAGAGGGTTGTTCTGATCCTTCAGGGTTTAAAAGGTCTTAGTTAATGAGATGTGTGGCATTGACAGATCAGACTAGAATCCTTTCAGTTAAAAACAGTCTTGAAAAAACTATCAGGTGATAGGTCAGATCTTCATGACCCGTCTTTAAGAGATTTATCTAGTATCAATATTTTCTTCAGACATTTGATTTACTTCATAGGGTTTCAGTTCCTTTTCCTTGATATACCCGTAGACTTTATTTCCATGTGTAAAGCAATCAAATATTATTTTAATCCTTATGGCCAATAAGCGCCTAGAAACTAGATCACTACTAGGACTATTTCTTAACCTATTTCTTGGACAAACTTAAGATGTTAAAGTTAACTGAAAAAATTATTCCCTTATTTCTAGAAAAAAAAATCTGTCTAACAAAATCATCACATACTTTACTGAGCAGAGGTTGTCTGAGTCAAGACCCCCCTTGATATTGGAGTATGTGTCCCCGCGGGCTGTTGAGAGAGCCTGTTCAAATTCTATCTCAACTCTACCCACAGATCTGTAAACATTTGATCTCAATTCACACTTAAAGTCTTATATACGGTAATAATTCATTAAATGTGAACATAACCATTTAAATAAAATTCCCCTGACAAAATATGTTTGAGTAATGCCTGAAGGATGTCGGCTTCAATTTCAAAAGGAGGAGTTAAGTTTTTGTCAGAAAGTAAGCTTGAGGAGCATAAACTGGTAAATATTGAAAAAAATGAAAGATCGGAATAGTGGATTTGTTTAAAATTTATGGATTGTTACTGCCCCAGTGTTAAAAGATATAGGTTATTTCAAGGCGTAGGTTGTATGTTTATTTATCGAAACTGACACCATTTTGAAAATGAAATAATAGAAAGAGAAATAACAGTGTTGGGTATCAGATTCATATTAAGATGCACATTGATTTTGTCTTAATATTTGTATGAAATAGGGGTGGGGAGGTCTGCGTGGAAATCTATACTGTGTTTGGAAGAATTTGATCTGCTGTGACTGAGATTTTCACTAAAATGGCCTGTTGTTTCTCACCGACTTTCAACAGTGGAAAATCCTATTACTAG